GTATAATTCAGCCTAGTATTTCCGAGATGGGATGTATTTTCGGTTGTACTGTCAGTGTTTTTATTATCTTACACATATATTGAAGGAAAATCAAATTACTTTAAAGGATCAATTTTGATCTTGTCTTATCTGGTATTAATGGCTGGATTTTTTTATGCGCCTCTTGGGCTGACAGATAATTACTAAGTGTTGTATTTGTAGCATATTTGAATGAACAATTTTGTTGTACATTAATGAGTTTATGTATTTTAATATTTGAATCCATTTATGTGATAGGGATATTGGACAGTTTCATTAACATTGTAATAAATATATATAATATTTATTTATTTATTTTGAACTTACTGTAGCCTATATACATAGTCTGTAATTATTTACGGGATTGTATGCTAATTCTGGAAATTTATAGAATTTTATATTCATGAGCTGCTCGTATACAGTATGTTATATGTGCTATCCAAAGTAATTATTTATGTATGAGTATACTCTTTACATTATCCAAGGATAGTGATAGATTTGATATATTGATAAATACATATATACTTAGTGAAATTTGTTGTTTTTGGAATAGCATTTACAATTAATCCCTTTGTTGCATTAGTTGTATATACTTTTCAAACCAGGAAACAAGCAGAAGGAACATTTCTTTTAACCTCTTGCCAATCATAATATAGCATTAAATCTAACGTCGCTCCGAACCATATATAAAGACCCATCACATAAACACAGTTCTTTTATAAAGTAAGCGTATACTGTATAATTACTGCAAAAGTCAATTTATTGATTAATGTGCTAACAATTTAGAAACTATCAATCTTATAAAGTATAAAACTAAGCCACCCCTGTATATAATGTATATGCTCCAGAAGAAAGTCCCCTGTTATTTTACTTAATCAATACAAAAAAAATATAAAAATAAAGATAAAAATATACGATATCAGATATATACTATATATTAAATTTTGATAGTGTCCATGTCCAGTGGCTTCTCTTTATGCACCAGATAATCCGGATCCGGATCACAATTCGTCCATAAACCGAGAACATCAATTTGTTTATCTTTAATCATTTCACGTTCAGTATCATCATGCGGAAAAATCCCAGCGGGAATAGTTACCATTAGCATTATAGCTAGTATAGCAAATAACCACATAGAAACAAAATTTGCAGCACGAATCTTGCAGGCTACATAAAATTCTGTAGAATTATAAGTTACATTTGATGGACAATAGAATGGCGCACCTCCGATGTCATCACGTGTGAATAATGTATATAATACTAAATTTTCAATATAAATTTGATTTATTATGGACTTTGTATCCAATTTTTTGACATATAACTAATTTTCAAAAAAAATGTATACCTGAGATAGATAACCATAACAAAGTCCAGAGCCTAAAAAAATAGATACAGTATGATCAATTATAATAATCTTTAAATTTCATCAACTTTCATTTTAAAATATAAATTACAATAATTTTAATTCTATTCCTTGTGGCGTTAAATCAGGTTTGTAACAAAAATTAAAAACCGATGAGAAAATAATCCAGACTTTAAAAAAAGACAAAAAGAATTATTAGCAAATTCATTGGGAAAAAAATCAATTATGAAACGTTAAAATACCTACTTGGTAGAATAAGAGATACTGCCAGGTAACTAAATTTAAGATTTTTATTTAATAATTGAATTTCACATCAGCTTTATAAAATGGTTTGATTATTTCAGAATATTTACACATATTCCATTGAAATAGTTAATTGATATGGGCTTCCAACATCTGTAAATAATTTAATTTTGGCGATTTCTAAAACAGGACATACGCGAACAATCCATTAACCTTTTATTTTTTATTTTTTGTTAAGCATTAAAATAAATAATTACCCAAGGCTGGACAAAGAAATGCAAATAGTATATATATGCTAACGAACGCCATCGCAATAACTCTTAAGATCCTCATCGTAAATTTCGTAAATTTCGCCATCTTTGCAAGTTAGAATTCCACAAGGATACAGTATCAAAGTAAGTACATGCATGCGTAAATATATATATCTACGCATAATATTTTGTTTAGTGCGTCCAAGCCTTAGCTTAACGTTAATGAGGCTTACAATTTATAACTTAAATCATATGGCGAAATACAACTTTACATGTGTAATAATACTATGGTCTTTTTAGTAACAGATTCCTCGAAAAGTTCTAAAGAGCGCTTGCATTCTCTTACTACTCCCTTACTCATATTAGTGCATTTATTCATTAAAAAAAATTTTTTTTTTGTAATCTGTTTATTACTAAATGACCTATTTGATGATAACGTCCTTCGCTCCCGCCATTATTATGTCCATAAAAAAAATATGATTTCCAGACAGTTATTTCTCCTACAGGCCATTTACCCACCATCGCATAAGGTTATTAAATCGTAACTAGTGATTAGAATCGATAAGATTTGAGCATCGTTTGGTCATGACCCTAAAATTTTGACTGAATATTCGAAAGTTCATCGAGTATTAAAAAATATACAGTATAAAAAAAATCTTTAGCGTAACATTTTGATTTACATTTATAAAAACCATATATCGATATCTGATATATACCTGATACGTACTGTATTAATTCTAAATATCAGCAATAATAAAATTAATTACTACATATATATTATGTTTTATAAATATCATTCTGCTAAGTTACTTTGGATTTAATAATCTCTCTTCGTACTCAACATTTCCCTGTTTGAAAAAAATAAGGTTCACTTAGTATGCATTTTGTCAAGATCACATCACAGGATCTGTTTCGAAAGAGTATCATCTTGATTTTGATAATGACAAACCGAAATATTAATAAATTAGATTCATCCACTCCATTATTAAAAGAGAACATTAATAGAAGATGCCATGTCTTTATTTCATAGTAAATAAATTCCATGTTTTAATTAATGTTAATTTAAAATCAAAATTTATTATTATCAAAACAGTAAATTTTAACTTTGACCGATTCTCGATGATTGACCGAGTTAAAAAATCATTGAATGACGATGCTCGAATAACTATTCACAATAATTTTTTATTCAATAATTAAATAAAAAATTTTCAAAGTTCTTCATACTATGTATACAACTCGGATAATTTTTTATACATAGATTTAACTGAAATTAATATTATGATAACAATCAAAGGAAACGTTGTGTCACAGGAATTGTGTTGCTAAAAGCCCTAACAACTAATTATGATAATTACATTAAACTGTTTAAAAAATGGTATAACATAATATGAATAAATTATTATATGGTAAAATGAAATTTTTAATTACAATATTACTAAAAAAATTTTATAAGGTCCAATCAATTATTAATTACTTTTGGGTAGTTGTCTATAAATAATAATAAACTGACCAAAACTTATTATTTATCTATTTATTTTTTTTTTCTATCTGAATTGCCTCTCAATTGGTAGTAATTATTTTGATGAGATATTCAAAAGTTCTTCGTGTATAACATTTAACGCTTTTTCAGAATTATACTCATCAATAACACAAGAAATGTTAATTTCTGATGAACCTTGCGATATCATCTCAATGTTCACATTCGCTTCAGCTAGTTTGGTAAACATCTTACCTGCAATGCCTACCATATTTTTCATTTGCTTTCCGACCAAACTCAGGATTGCCATGTTGATGGTCACATCAACCTATAATAATATTAAAATTATTATTCTGTACATACAAAAATTTAAACCATGTAATAATTATATAATAATATGTTTACCCTGCCCAATTTTTTCAAATCATCCAATGCTCTCTGTAAGTCTCGCTCCACGATTTCTGCACCGAGTGCCATAGAAACATGAACCTCACTCGTCGAAATCAAATCAACTACGATTCCGTAATTATCTAATGCCGCAAATATTTGTGCAAAAAATCCGTGACTCATGGTTTTTCTATTAGAATGAATGTTAAGAACAACGATGTTATTCTTAATAGTAACAGCTGTAGGATGTTTCCTTGACATATCTCGAAGATAACCATTTTGATATAGAAGCTCGGAAATATTAAGCCGAGTTAATGATCCATTTTTAAGAGAGGTGTCGGGAAAAATAACTGTTCCTTTTCCTAATGGATTCATAACATTCTTTATGCGAATTGGAATGTTCGAACGCATGACCTGTTCCATGGTAAACGGATGTATAACCTCTGACCCATAATATGTCAATTCTGCCGCTTCTTCCGGTGTAATAATGGGAATAAGCCGTGCATTTTTTACTTTACGGGGATCTGCTGTAAAAATACCATCGACTTCTTTCCAAACTTGAAGTTCTTTGGCACCGATCCCAACTGCAAGAAGTGCAGCACATAAATCCGTGTAACCACGCCCAATATTAGTTAGAAGACCGCCAGGCACTGTCCCAAAAAATCCTATAGTAATTCATAAGTTTTTTAATTATATGAAATATATGTATGTATTTGAATTTAATTATTGATTTAAAAGGTATGTTACCTGTAACAACTGGTACACGATTACCACATTTTTTAACGGCCTCCGCAATTCTTTGAGCCAAATAATCATAAAATTTTTGATCAAGACAGTTCATATCGAATTCTTGTTCAATAACGTGATCGAGGTTTATTAATTCAGTACTAATTCCCTAGAAAAATAAAATTTTATAATCTATAAGGATTTTAAATGTAAAAATAATATTTTCAATAATCAAGAAATAAATACCCTGTCCCTTAATACCGATGTAACAATGCTACATGTTAACTTTTCACCAACACTAATGATGATATCTTTTGAACGAGGAGATACCTCTTCAATGATCTAAAAATATGATTGGAATACATTAATGAAAATGATAAAAAAAATGAATTTAAATTAAAATTATCACGAAATTAGAAAATAAACCTACTTGCGCCGCTTCTAAAAAGCACTTCAATTTTGCGCAATCCTGCAGCAATTGTTTTTCTAATTCATTGAGAATTTCTGGATCACTGATTAATTTCCTCGACGCATTGATATGCTCTTGTCCAATTTCATCAACTATTCTATAATATTCTTTTGAACCTGGAATTAAAGCCTCTTCAGCCGCTTTAAGTAACCTTTAGAAATTGAATATCACGTTATTTTTATAAAATTGATATATATAGATAACCCATGACTCACTTATTAGTTGTTCCTTTTGACTTTGTGTCGCCGCTCCTTGCAGAACAAACAATAGCAACTTGGCTTTTTTCCAAGTGAGATCTGTTTTTAAATAATTGAATCGCGTCAAAGATAAATTTTAGCCTTGTCTTTATTAATAAAGCAAAGGTTTATACAAACTTTATGATTGTGCCTGCAATGCTATCTAAAAATTTCCCTATACTAGTACCACCGAATTTTTGAACAATCCAGGGCAATGTTTCTTGATTATAGATCATAGCATCTGGCGACATTTTAGAAATAGCTAACAGCGCAACTATACAAAGGCTAATCAGAAAAAGAACAGCGATATCAAGTACCAAAAATGAGTCATGTTAAAAAAAAAAAAAAAAAAAATTCGGGATTTTTTTCCTTTTTGGTAATGTATGGCCAATATAAACGCTCTTCAATTGGTTGCATTGTTAAACATTTATCTTTTATCGTTATCATTATCATCGATAAATTTTCTACATATAATATAATGCTATATATTTATTTATTCTTAGGAGATTTATACGTAGCTTTATATACTGTATATATATATTTGTAATACAATCAAATACTCTATATGTACGTACGTACGTACGTAACTTTAACATAGAGAACAATCCCAAATTTGGTTATTGTCAATTGAAGAACAGTTTGCCGCTTTTTACATTTATGGAAAGATTCCCAAAATTTGGGTAATTGGACAACTGGTTAGATAATTAATTGAATATCATTGGTTGGTCAACTGTTCCAATTGTCCAATTGTCAACACTGGTGCGCACTCATATGACCATATGCTTCATATTAAAATAAGAGCACATCAAATTTTTTACACTGGGTTGGTGTTATATTTGTTTTTTTAAAAAATATATACCAGGAAAAATTTATATAAATATTAAATTGCGATAAATAGATTTATTTTAAACCCAAAGCAGGTTTATTTTAAACCAAAAATAGGTTCACATTGAACTTAAAATGTGTTTACTTTAAACCCAAAATAGTTTCATTTTGGAACCAAAGTGAGGTTCACGTTGAACCCGTAATGGAACCCGAAGTGGGTTTACTTGGAACTAGGCTTCTATATGGGCTAGGTAGGGCCAGGTAATAGCAATACTCTAGCCCTACCCACCTGTGTAAGGGCTTGATTTTTTGAGTCTTTACTAGAGGCCTGCAAATTCCTAATTTTAAGGCCCGGGCCCGCAATTAGGGTTACAAATTTTTTGCCGGCCCGGGCCCACCCGCAGTTAAAAATTTTTTGTCAAGCCCGGCCCGTTTCGGCCTGGCCCGCAAATTTTTAATATAAATTTTTTCAAAATTTCGGCCCGGCCCGCGATTATAAAAATTTTTTTTAGGCCCGCCCAGGCCCGCACACCGGGCCGGGCTTTAGGACCCAATGCAGGCCTCTAGTCTTTACCTTTATCCAAGAGTTAAAGCTTGCCTAGTTTACAATCTCATTGGTATTTATAAGTATTTAGAAAGTATCTTTTTTTTTTTTTTTTAATATTAAGGTGACCACTTAGGCCCTTGGCACTTTATTAGTACAAGCAGTAGGCCAATGTTAATTTTAGCACCGGCT